CTGTAGTTTTCCTTTTTTTATACATTGTGTTTGTCTGGTTTTGGTATCACAGTAATGCTGGCCTCATAGAATGAGTTAGGAAGTATTCCCTCTGCTTCTGTATTTTGGAAGACATTGTAAAAAGTTGTTATAACTTCTTTAGATATTTGGTAGAATTCATCAGAGAACCTTTCTCGGCCTGGGGCTTTGTGTTCTGAAAATTTAATTTTTGATTCAATTTCTTTAAGAGATATGGACTTATTTATTTATTTTTTATTATTTTTATTTTTTTGAGACAGAGTCTCACTCTGTTGCCTGGGCTAGAGTGCCATGGTGTCAGCCTAGCTCACAGCAACCTCAAACTCCTGGGCTCAAACAATCCTTCTGCCTCAGCCTCCTGAGTAGCTAGGAATACAGGCATGGCACCACCTGCCCCAGCTAATTTTCTGTATATTTTAGTGTCCAATTTAATTCTTTCTATTTTTAGTAGAGATACACAAGAGGCTCTACGGTTCTATTTGCTACCGAACCCCCAACTCCCACTCACGACCTTGAGTGATCCTCTCGCCTTCGGCCTCCCACAGAGTCGCTAGGGATACCGGTAGCCAGTCCGCACTTGCGGCCTAAAATTGCACTTATCAATATGGACCGTTAGTACGGCTATTTCTTCCTGTTCGAGTTTCGCAGAGTTGTGTCTTTCACCAAATTGGTCTATTTGTTAGGTTATCAGCTTATGGGCATAAAAATTTAAGGAATATTCCTTTAATCAGCCTTTTTAATGTCCATGCATTGTTTAGTGATGTTTCCTCTTTGTTGTCTACGTTAGGTCAATTGCGTCTTGGGTATTTCTTAGTTCAGCCTGTCTAAACTTATGCTCCTTTATTGGATCCTGTCAATAGAAACAGCTGTGTTAGAGATCCTCTCTATATAAGCTTTCTGTTGTCAATTTCATTGGATTTTCTATCTAAATTTTAATATTCTCTTTCTCTGGTTATCAAGAACTGCAGTAAATAGGCCTTAGTAATGTAGTGCAAGATAAGGACAAGGCAGATTCTACACTCCCCTGTATCAAGGCTCAGTCTCTTGGTGAGCCTGTGCCCCGACCTGTGAGCTTCATATAGTGGCTTCTCCCGTCTTCTTTCCCCTCTCCCTTAGTGAGATGAAATGCTGGCTTCCTGCCCAGTTAGCACTGAATAAAATCCCCTAGTAGGTTCTAAGTAAAATTCAGTTTCCCTCGGCAAGTGCGCCCCCTCTAAAAAGAACATAACTGCGCTGCGTGTGCTCCAAATGTTTCTTTTGCTCTGCCCTGCCCAGAAGCCCAGGGGATGTTTGCTCTGACCTTTCAGTGTACCTGATAAAGCTTCAGAATAATACTCCCAGAAGTTGGTCACACCCTCTTGACTGGGTCCCCCGTGTAGTTTTTTAACTTCAAGTGTCCACCCTTCTGCAATTCATCAATATAGCTCTGGTTTCCTTCATTGGTATTGGTTACCACTGAAGTATTCTATCCGAATGTAATTCTCTGCGCTGTCTGTTTCTCCAATTTTGGGGGGCAGCAGTTTTCCTTGTGACATCACTTCTCTGACAGACCTAAGAAGAGTTATTGATTTTTCAGTTTGTTCAGCTTTTTACCTGTTACAATGGACTAGTGACTTCTAAGCTCCTTATATGCCAGAACGTAGCCCTGTTTTTAAGACTCTCTACCCATAACTTGGATAAGCCTCTTGCCTACTGACACGTTTCCCTTGCTGTGGCACTTTTCCCTTTCATCATGCTCTGGTAAACATGGCCATTATCCTCCTATAATTACCTATCAGTTAACTATATTTTCCATAACACTGCATTATAAACAGCCATGAAATTTCACTGACATACGTCAATAAGCATTTATTTTAGATCATACATCTAAGGGTTCTGGAGTCAGTTAATCTGGGTGTGGTTTGCATTAGCCTAGTTTATCTCAACTGGGTTTATTCATGCATCTAGCGGTTAAGTGGAGGTCATCTGATCTGGGCCACACTTAGCTGGGGCAGGTAGGCTCTGTTTCACATGTCTCTCAGCCTCATCCTGGAACCAGCAAGCTATCTATGAATATCTCATGGTGGTAGGGGTGGCTCAAGAGAGCAAGCTTAATAGAATGGGTGTATTTCAAGCCTTTGGTCACTCATGCCCCCTAACATTCTATTTGCCAAAGAAATTCATATACCTTAGCATAAAGTTAAGGGATAGGGAAATATACTCTGTCTCTTTTTTGGAAGAAACTGCAAAGTAACATGTTAAAGGGCAGTGACACATAAGAAGGTGTAAAGATTTGAAGTCATTAATAGAATCTACTATACATATCTTTATCCAAATCTAGTCTGTGTCCTAGACCCTGGAACTCTGCAATGACTCAAGCCTCATCAAAATATTTGCAGCTATTGAGTAGGTACATATTAAATGTTGAATTGGCTTTCTCTCAATTTTATTCATTGTAAAGTACCTATTCTTTAGATGAAACACTCAAAGGCTTATTATCTTTTAAGATGGTTTTGTAAGATGCTTATGGTAAAAAGAAATGAATAAAAAGTCTATCCTAAAAACCATTTATTCTCTGAATTGATTCTGATAAGGCTATGGAAAAGAGAGAGAAATCTCATCTTAGAGAGAAAACCTAAACAATTTTGCATGGTGACAAAAAAGAATTTGTTTTATTTAAATAAAGAAAAGGGTTTTTTTGGGGGGGTCACAGTAAAAGTGTGAATATTGTATCCATAAAATAAGAACCCCAGTCTGTTCTTAGCAAAACACATTATTTTACACAAATTAAATAATCATTACACCCAAAGTTTTAAAGAAGAAAACAAAGAATATGTCTACTTACGAATCTCAAGAATAGTTTCTTAAGATTAGGGTATGTAACTTGATTTCTTTGCACCTCTGTGTCCTCAACTTTGCAGTGAGAGGGTAGGAGAGTTGGGGCTAAAATGCCTTCCTGTGCTAACATATCTGTATTCTATGTTATTGAATGAATACTGTTTATTCCATTAGTCAACTATTTATGCTAAAGAATAGCATTTGCTGAAGAAGTCTTTTTTTTTTTTCCCAAGGACTAATTATCTAGGTATGGCTTTTGGCAAAACTGTGAAGTGGATTATAAATCTTACAACTTAAAAAGATCAATGAAATGCCAGTAATCATTTAGACTGCTGACATAACATCAGTTGAATTTATTTATCCAAGTCTTCTCGAGTGCCTAAAGGTACTAAGCACTGTGACATGTGCAGGAAATACAATGGTGAACAAAACAGATATGATCCCTAACTCATACATTAAGGGTAAAGAGGAAATTGGTTTAATAATTTTGGAAAACTGTTTGGCATATCTACTGAAATTGACCATATGCATACTCTATATATAATCCAGTAAGCTCTCTGCTGGGTATAAACACCACAGAGATGTGTATGTATGTTTACCAAAAGACATATACTTTTCATGAATGTATATTCATAGCATTATTTGGAATAATTCTCACTAGAAATCCAAATGCACATCAGCAATAGAATGGATGAATAAATGTGGTATATTTGTACTCAGTAATATAACGGAGCAATAAGAATGGATGATCTACAATTATACCAACAATATTAATCTTATAAATGTTATGTTGAGCAAGAGAAGCCAGACACAAAATAGTACATACTGTATAATTTCATTTATATTAAGTCTAAGAGCAGGCAAAAGTATTCTTAGCTGTTAGAAATCAGAAAGTGCTTATTTCTGGAGTATACCAACTTAGAAGATAGCACCAGAAGTCTTCTGGGGGGATATTCATTTTTTATTTCTTAATTTGGAATCTGACTATACAGATATGTTCAATTTGTAAAAATTCATTGTGTCTACACTAATGATATATGTACTTCCCTGTGTAAATATTATCATTCAATAACAAAGTATCTCCTTCCCTAAGAAAAATGACCATATGTGTCTTATCACTTATAGCAGGAGGGAAATAAGCAAATAAGAATATAAATTAATGGCAATAAGTACAATGAAGGAAATAAAGAGAGTATAGCAAATATTAACCAAGTGTCTACAATGGAGAAAATACACTTGAAAAAATGATTTCTTGTTAGGCAATCACAGTTAACAGATGAAGAACCTTTGCTGTTTCAAAACTGCTATTTGCCTTCTCTTACTAAGGGTACTCGTCCAAAATGAAGTGCCCGTCTCTAGTGGAGGGAGCATGGACTGGTCCGTTGATCATCATGATTTTTCAGTAATCTATAATTATGCTGCTTGTGCCAGCCAACTCTGCTAGCATCTGTTCTCTTTCTTATCTCGCCTGTCCCCAAGAGGTACTAACTGCTGGCATTTGAAGACATATAATAAAGATGGGTGACATTAAGAACATCTGGACTCCTGACCTTGAGCGATCCTCCTGCCTTGGCCTCCCAGAGTGCTAGGATTACAGGCATGAGCCACCGCTCCCAGCCAAAAATAAAAAAAAGGACATCTGGAAAGCTGGTACTTTGACTTTATTAGACCTATTTATTAATTAATTTTGGGGAGCTAAGATCCAAATATTATATGAATCTTTTTCAAACATCAAAACAATTTCTTATAGCTATAGTCTTAAGCCCTTGGGAAATTTTATGAATATATTTAATAATGACAGTAGAATCTTTCACTTAAAAAAAAGATTCCCACTGCATTGTTGTAGTAAAGGAATATTTATAGATTGAACTCTTTAGTTCTACTGGAGCCCAAGTTAGTCAACCATCCAAAAGGAGGCTGAACTCCACCAATCTGCCTGTGAAATATCCCTGAGGTCCTAGGACTTGTAATAAATCAATAGCTAAGCCTTCATCATCACTTTTTCCTGTAATTAATTTGTGAACAAAAAAATTCATTTTTGTATAATTATAAACAATTTTTAAAAGGACAAAATGTGTTTAAAACATGCTGTTAATGTGCAACAGACTAAGTAACCTCTGAGAAATATAATCCTGATTGATTAAAAAAGTTTCATCTCTACTTACTCTGTGTTCCTAAATTTCTTGGCTTGCCCACCAGACCTCTGCATGTTGCTAGCTGTCAGGTTATATCATCTGCATGAAAACAACTGATCTTGACAAGTTGAACTCTCCAGTCTGGCAAAGAGACAGCAATTTGAAGTCCCTTGTGAAAAGAGCTATTTTATATCAACTCTTGACTATCTAGGATCTAATTTTCTAGTTCTCTTTATCCAGGACTTTACCTCTCCTCATTACTTATTGTTTGCCTTTTGGCCACTTCACTTTTCATTAATTGAACCCCAGGAGGTAGTCAGGGTGAGAAATGAGAAAGGAACCTATTCCGTTGATTGAGCAACTGGATACAACCCTGGCCTCTCTGGTATTCTTACTCTATAAGCCTTAACGAGATAATATTCCTCCATTGCTTCAGAAAAGTGCTATTTAGGAGAATGAGAAAAAAATGCACCTAAAATCTGAGTCTTAGGGAATGCACTTTTTTTTATAGGTCAACTTAACCCTTGTAGGGAAAGCAAATTTAAATAGCACAGAAAATGTGATTATTTTTCTAATCTTCAAATTTCTGATTCAATTTCTGAAAGTAAGTATATCGTGTCAAATAGTCAAATTTTAAAATTAATTCTACAATCTCTCTGGTTTGGGTATAAAATACTTTCTTGGGTTATATATTTGGAAAAACAATGTAATTAGTTCAAAGAAAGGCATATCCTTGAGAATAAATATATATATGTTCAAATACACAATAATTGTTTTTTCTTTTCCTCAAACATAAAATGATAGTCTTCAGAAAAACAGGAGCTTAGATAAGACTGGGTTTTAATCAAAAGGATGGCAATTATTTATATACATTTAAAACAAATATATATACCCATAAACACAGGAGGGAAACTGCAATGTAATCTGAAGTAAGGAGCTTAAAACACTAGAAAAGAATTCAACACAAACTTTAGTTTTTTCATTCTATAAAGAAGGAAATTGGGGAAAACTTTTACCAAAAAAAAAAAAAATAAATAAAATTAATGGTCGGGTATATCTCGCAAGTTTTTGTAAGAGTACACATATCCTTAATTTTCATGAGTTATTTCCTTCATCTAGTAAGTATTTATTGAGTGCTTGAAATATAACAGGCACTTTTCTCTCACTGGAAATGTAGAGATACAAAGTTCCTATCCACAGAGCTTTTATTGTTGAACAGAATGACTAAGAAGAACCATTACGGGACAAACTCGAAAGATCAACAATAAAGAATAAAGCACAAAAATTGCTTTGCTGATTAACTGCCAGACTTCTAACACTTCTGTGGGTGGCAGGTTGATTGCCTAGGCAGGTATAAATCAAGATCCTCTCCAGTTCATGCTTTTCCTTTTTACTGACAAAAAATGCTTGGGGGCACACAAGTTGGCACTGGTTGAAACCCCTCAAACATCACCATGTTTCTGCTGAAAAGGAAGGGTAGCCTTGAAAACAGAAGGTCACCACTACTTAATAAACTTTAAAAAAAAAAAACAAAACTCCAACTCATTATATATAAAGCATTGTATTAGACACTGAAGGGAATACGATAAAAGCATAAGATAGTGAGGGACATTCCCTTCTAATCGAATGCAATTTAGCAGGAGAAGATAATGTAACCACAAGAAATAACCAATGCTAGCATAGAGTTTTCTTTAAAGTTCATGACATATTTCATATTTATTTTATTCTCAAAATAACCATGTGAGGTAGGATAGAAAAATGATTTTATAATGCCCAATATAAAGAAGAAGAAACTGAGCTTGGCACAAATGAATGACTTTTTCAAAAATCACAGCCCCAGAGATGGAGCAAGGTGACTCAGTTCTTTCTACTTATGAGGATCTATGTTTTTTACCACATCTTGCTCTTTCCCATAAAAATGTTAATGATATAGAGACCGAACTTCATTCATTCACTTATTCATACATTTATTGAACATCTTCTATTTGCTAGCTACTGTGAAAAGTACTGGGATACAACAATGAGTTACTGTCTGCTGTCAAGATGTCAACACATATTTGAATAGCATTTTATCTCTTATAAAACCCTTCTCACAAAAATGATACAATCACTATGTCTTATGTAATGTACCATTATTAGTTATATTTTGCAGATGAGAAAACAAAGGCTTAGAGGAATTTAATAACTCACCTAAGTTCATAAAGACCGTAGGGGCTCAGGAAGAGGCAGTCATTACTTAAGTGCTAAAATGAGTACAAAACTATAGGACATTAGCTTTTAACTTTTTTTGACACGCATTTCTACCTGTACAAACATTTGAGCATACACTAGTTATATACATTTTTTTAAATGTTTAAATAGTATTCATGCACTACTGTACTAATTTTAAATATACTATAAAACTCACAAAAATTAAAATTTCAAAAGGATGCAATGAAAAACAAATACAATTAAAAGCTTCATTACTTACTTTTTGTAACCTAATGGATTATCTTGCATATTTTTGAGAATACACTTACTTTTCTTTGGAGAGCACTGTTTTAATAGGCAATGAATTCTAAACATGTATTAAAAGAGGGGCAGTCAATGTGGGTAGGTGGTACAGTGGAGGTGGTACTTACATTAAGTTTTGGGTGTCTGTTAGCTATGGGTGAATAATCTACAATCTAGAAAAATCTGACCTTTAGACTCCAAGCATGAATGTTTCTGTCAAACACTAGGGAAATGCAAGTTTTTCTTACTCATTCCTACCAATTTGTTTCTGGGTTACACTTTTTAGCTTGAATCGAATCAATCAAAAAGCCTGAATGCCAATGATTATAAGCAAGAAAATTTTGAACAAATGAATGTCTGCCCCACAAGCACAAAAAGGAGAAACGCTTAGATTTTATTTCATTCATGGGAAAATCACATAAAAATCAATTAAAAGGGGGAAGCCTTTGAAACTTAGAAACATTTTATTTCAATTCTCTCTTAGTTATTAACATAATTTGTGCTGTTGAAATAACTATAGCACTCTATGAAAATGTTTAGTTCCCATTCATTAAGAAGAGATCACTTTTCCCTCCACAACAAACTCTTTGGTTGAGGTCTATTTTAATTACTCATTTATAATGTGTACAAACTCCTCCTTCACAAAACAAATTTACCACTTCAAATTTATGGTAATATTGAAATTCAATTATTTTTGGATGTTAGCTCAATGAATAGTTTTTACCAGAAAAAAAGAGAGCCAATGTTAATCCATCCTTTCTTTGAAGGATCTAAAACACGTACATTCCCAACCCCAGTCTTCTAAAATTAGTTAACAAGAAGCAACAGAATAATAAACGAAAATTTCCATCTGTACCACTGTATTGCCCAACTTCAGGAGGCAAAATTTACAGTGTGTTTTCTGGGCATGATGTGACTCCTGGAATTTTGCAACCATGGTGGCCTTGACCCCTGAGTATTAAGTCAGGACAAATTTTGGGGGAAATGAAAATATGGTTTTCATAAGGGGTAATGATATTTTTGTGCTATTCTATGGCACTTTGAAAAACCAACTGAACACATTTAAGACTTTAAAGAGCTTTTTCAAAGTTCATTAACAAATTTGATTAAAAATTGAGTCACTATGCAACTTGAAGGAATATTTTGTCATGAATAGCTCAATTTCAATTCATTTATTTATATTATACTTCTATTTAAGAAATTGTGGTGGCTTATGTCAGAGAAGTTTTGAGATAATTTTTGAAATAAATATTTTGAAATAATATAAAGGGTTTAAGTGAGGTAATAAAATGAAGAAACAGGTTTTCATAAAAAATTATTTTATAGTATAGGATGATGATGTAAGAGCCATTATTCAAGATAAAATCTTAATTTCTAAGGACTATTATAGTTTTCAATGCCTTCTTCATCTACCCCATCTCATTTCATCCACTAAAGTTTGCTCTAGGAGATACTTGCTCACTGTTCATTGGAGAACAAAGTTTATTGTAATATTTTGCTAATAGAGGCTTTAAAGAGAGGAATCTCACTATGAAAAGTACTGAAAGCAAATTGGAAACACTGTTTTACCCTTTGGAGGAAAGTATAGGTTAGAAAGAACCAGGATCACAGCCCATGACTTCCTTTGCCAAGTCACTAATTTCAGGTTCCACATCTGTAAAAAGGATGCAACCTTCGTATCACAAAGCAGTTGTGAACTGAAAGAATTACTGATATTAGCATATAATATTGTGTCTGAGATGCAATACATAAAATTAGCTATAATTATCCAACAAGTCTATACATCACCACCAGAGTAAAAACAGACCTGATTCAGTATTCAACCCATCATACCACACTGCCCTCTGTTCACCCTGATCAATTGCAATTTGTTAAACTAGACCAGGTTTTCCACCTTTGTTTGGATAGCATGTTGACTCTTCATGGAGGTGTTCATTGGAATAAGCACTTCCAAGCTTCTGCCTCAGATTCTGATTTAGCATGTGCACCTGTGAAACCCCACAGGTGATTCTGATGTATTGCCTGGTTGAGAACAACTGAGTTAGGTTATGTGCCAAAAAGAACCTGGGCATGCTTTTTACCTCCCAAATCTCTAGCTTATTAAGGTAAAGCTACTTTTGCCTTAGTTGCTGTAACTACTAGGTGAGCTTTCATTGCTTTCACCTGCAGTGGAATCAGAAGCTAGACTATACCAGGTAAAAGTCAAAGTGACTCCGTCCACCACATCATCTGATTTTTCCCCTTTGTTAGTAGTTTCTTCCATAGCCTGACACATTTACTTACATTCTTCAGAGGATTTGTAATTGAGGAGAGGGCTCCTATAAGATAGGACACTAAAGCCAGTTCCAGTTCTAAGATATGAAGAAGCAATTCACAGCTCAAATGTGGTACTCATGATTTCAGATGAGAGGTCTAACTCAGATAAACAAGTTTGTTGATATGGAATCCCATGTCCATATGAAAGGATTAGGCAAAATACGTTGTTTTTCTCCCTATTGTTACCACTATTGGGTTGTTTATCAAAAACTGATAGCCAGGTAGCAAGTTTGCATCTCCAGTAGATACTGAGTGCCATGGCATCCTTTCCAACATAGTGTAGGTTTAATGTTCAGAAATTCCTGCTTGGCTCAGTATATAATTGTTGGTGGAGAAAAGAGTTCATATCATTTTGTAAACATTTCTCTTTTTTAGAATAAGTGGCCACAACAAATTATACTACTCAGAGCTTACAATTTTCAGCTTCAGGGTAATAAAAGCCACCTTCTAAATTGTTCATAGACTTTCAAAGGGATTCATTGTGTTTGTCGTCTCTGTTAATGCAAATAGTCCCTCATATTTGTAGTTTTGTTGAATTTTAAGTTAAGATCATTATGTGAAATAGTTTTAACTCTGATTAAGTTAAATTTAACATGTAGGGTTGAAATTTAAACATGAAAAAATTACAAATATGAAGAAACTCTCACCGCCACCGTTTTCCATCAAATAAGTTTCTAGTCTACACAGAGTGGTTCTGAGGAGGGTTTCACTTACAAGTGAGACCAAAAGTTTGTCACATCTTGGAAATCAGTTCTTGGCATATCACTTGGGATATTTTACAGCAGAGTCTTTGGTAACAGAAACAACTTCTTAAGCATATACACTTTTTGCTGATATTTCAATCCCAGTTTTGGTATTTATGGTGGCAAAGAAGAGGGCTTAGGGCAGTTATTGACTGCTTAAAGTGAATAATCTATAGAAATAAATGATTTCAAAGAGTAGACAGGGCCATACAGATCACTCTGATTTTCTTTGACCTCTTACACTCTTGAGAAGGCGGCAAAAAATTAACCCAGTGAATACTTCACCTGTGACCAGAAATCTATGGAGTCTGTATCTCTTGAGTAAATGTTGCTCTGATTTAAAGACATGTGAATCCTCACAATGGGTGTTTGGTGCCTGTATTAGTCAGAGTTCTCTAGAGCAAGGGTCCTCAACCTATGGTGAGTTGTACAAGTATTTAATTATGTATTAAAATGTAATAATAATAGAAATAAAGTGCACAATAAATATAATACACTTAAATCATCCCCCCAGTCTGTGGAAAAAAATTGTCTTCCATGAAAACAGTTCCTGGTGCCAAAAAGGTTGGGGACCGCTGCCCTAGAGAAACAGAACCAATAAGATATAAGGTCTGTCCAGAAAGTATCCAGCTATGTAATATGAAAAATAGAGACATTTATTGATGAAGATATAAGATACAGGAAACATTGTACACAGGATATTGATGCCTCAGTTCTCTTCAAAGTAGGCACCTTGGGACCTCACACAGTTCTCCCAGCCTCTCTTAACCTAACCCATACACGCTCAACATTCTCAGGTGTTCTGCTTGTTGCAGGTCTTCCAGAATGTGGATCACTTTCAACAATTATCAACCATCTTTGAAGCATTTGTGCCACACTTTTTTTTGCATTGCACTCATTGCATCATCCCCGAAAGCCTTCTGAATCATCTGAATAGCTTCTGCAGAGTATTGTTCAAGCTTAACACAAAATTTGATGCAGATGTGTTGTTCTACTTGCTCAGTCATTTTGAGTGCAATGGCCACAGAGTACACATTCTCGAAATCTAGTGCCCCAATGACTAGTGCAGTGAATTCATCATTGTTCATGAATGCACATTACAGTCCACTTTTATTGGCTGCCCAGTTACACTGATGTTGTGCAAACTGTTATCATTGTATTAACAATGGCTGGATACTTTCCGGACAGACCTCATATATTTATTATTAGGTCTTGGCTTAGGTGATTTTAGAGGCTGAGAAATCTCATGTTGTGATAAATGCAAATTGGAGACCCAAGAAAGCTAGTGGTGTAGTTTGAAGGTCTGATAGTGAGACAGCCAATGGTGTAGATTCCAGTCTGGGTCTGAATTTCTAAGAATTAGAAGGGCCTAGGGTGGGTGAAGATCAATATACAGCTTCAATGGTCAGGCAGAGAGGAAATTCAACTTTCATTCACTTTTTTGATCTATCGAGGCCTTCAACATACTGGTTGATGCTGATGATATTCAGTAGAACTATCTGCTTTACTTAGTCTTATTCAAATGGTAACCTCTTCTGGAAACACCCTCATAGACACTTCCAGTAATAATGTTTAACCAGCTATCTGAGCATCCTGTGGTTTAGTCAAGTTGACACATAAAATGAACCATCATATGCCTGTAGACGATGGTCTACAAATGTGGCCATTGATAATTTCTTCATTCCCTGTACATGTATGCAACTCCTTTCATCATAATGTGGAGCTACTTTCCCTCTTATTTAATTCTATCTG